GACTCTCTACCAGATGTCGAAAGTACAGATCCGCCCGCGGACGAATACACGAAATTCATTCGAAAGCTGGGCAAGCATTTCCTCCCAAAGAAAAATAAAGATTACGCGAGATTTCAACTTGGAAATCTACAGCAAGAAGAAGACGAATCACTCGCCAAATACTTCGCTCGTGTACGAGAAATCGCCAAGAAATGCGAATATCACGATGAAAACGACGCCATCCGAGACCACTTAATAAAAACAATGCGTAATAGAAGAATTCGGGTTAAAGCCATTCGACAAGGCTGGAGTCTTCAAGAAATTCTGGATGAAGCCGCTATTGACGAAGAGACCAACCAGCAAGCGTCCGAAATGGAAAAGAAGATTTCCCACGAAGAAAAAGATGTTAAACGCATCGAAGAAATGCCAACTCAAAAACCATGTGGTCGATGTGGGCGTAAACACACACAGAAATGCCCGGCGATCGGCGCCACTTGCACCGCATGTGGAAAACGAAATCATTACGCAAACGTCTGCAAAAGCAACCCTCAAGAGAAGAAAGGCTTTCGTCCACAGCAAACTCGCTATCCAAAAGATTCTCGAACAAGACGCGATCAGCGAGGACGACGAAATCATCGAAGATCAAACAATCGAAATGGAAAAATCCACCAAGTGTCAGGTCACGAGGAAATCGACCGGAAGTCGGATTCCAGCGACACTTCGAGCGATGATTGTTTCATCCACCACCTAAAGATACACAAAGCCAGCCAAAGCATTCAGAAGACCTGCACCATCCTCATCAACGGCATTGAAACCACAGTCGAGCCAGATACCGGCGCGGACACCAACATAATGGATGAATATCAGTTCCGAAAACTGCAAACAGAAAGACCGGAAATGGCACTTGAAGAATCGAAAATCAAATTAAAAGCACTCACCCATGACCTGCCAATCATGGGAGAATGTACTGTGAAAATCGAAAACCAGACGAGAGAAACAGAAGCAACAATCGTGGTAGTCCAAGGAAAGATTGACTCACTACCTCTACTGGGAAGACCCAGCTTAGATGAACTTGGAATGCTAAAGATCGATGAAACAGGCGGATTAAAAGAACCAAACAAAGCCGTGAAGAAAATCGAAAATGAGAATCCTGAGCTAGAGAAAATCCTAAATCGGTACAAGAATCTTTTGGAAGGTGTTGGCAAGGCAACAAGAGATGGCCAAGAGATACAAATTCATCTACCTATGAAAGAAGACGCCATACCAATCGCCCAGAAACCTAGACGCGTCCCATACCATCTCATTGAACCCCTCCAAGACAGAATTGAAGAGTTTATCAAAAATGACATCATGGAGAAAGTCCCTGACCACGAAGCAATCACCTGGTGCTCACCAATCGTCGTGCAACCAAAGCCCAAGAACCCTAAAGACATCAGAGTTAGCCTGGACCTCCGTCTCCTGAACAAATCAATGCTCCGCACACGCAACGTCCAAGCCCCAATCACAGAGGACTTTGTAACAGTATTCAGAGACTGTAAGATCTTCAGTAAACTTGACCTTAACCATGGCTACCACCAGTTCTGCCTCGACCCCGAATCACGAAAAACCATGACCTTCTCCACTCCATGGGGCAACTACAGGTACAAACGTCTGGCCTTTGGCGGAGTAAACAGCCAAGATCTGTTCGATGCAGAAATAAGCAAGATCATATCAGGCATCCCAAAGGTTCTCAATAACCGTGACGACATTATGATCGGTGGTAGAGACTGGGATGAGCACAACAAATCTCTTGCGCAACTGCTACAGAGATTGGAGGATCACAACCTGACCCTGCGACGTGAAAAGTGCGAATTTGGAAAAGCGTCCATCGACTTCCACGGACACTTGTTTACACAAGAAGGTCTTAAACCAAGTCCAACCAAGATTCAAGCGGTCCAAAACTGTGCTCCACCAGCATCCAAAGAGGAATTAGTCTCTTTTCTCCAAATGGTAGCCTACCTATCCAGGTACATCAGGAACTTCTCCAGCCGGTGCGAACCACTGAGAAAGCTCACGAAAATCAACGCAAAGTTTGAGTGGTCGACAGAACAAGAAACAGCCTTCAAGGACCTGAAAGCCGCCATCACAGCAGCCCCAGTCCTAATCCCGTACCATTCAGAACACGAAACACTTGTCATCTGTGACGGAAGCCCAGAAGGATTAGGAGGAGGTCTGTTTCAGAAGACTGGTAAAGGATTCCAACCAGTACACTATGTGAGCCGGACCTTAACTGACACAGAGAAGAGGTACTCTCAAATCGAGAGAGAAGCACTGGCAGCCGAATTCACTACAACCAGGCTCCAGATGTACCTGCTTGGCGCACCAAAGTTCCAGTTAGCAACGGACCACAAGCCACTGCTTCCACTCTTCAACAACCCAACAGCTAAACTGCCACCACGCATTGAAAGACTGGCCTTGAAAATGCAGAACCTCGACTTCGAAATGATTCACATCCCTGGTAAAACCAACATGACTGACTACATGTCCAGACACCCACTGCCGGAGACAGGGAATGACCGTCTTGAGAAATATGTCATCGCCACTGTCCAATCAGAGCACGCTGTAGTTCTGGACAGAATCAAAGAAGAAACCGCAAAAGACAAACAGCTTACAAAGCTCGCTGCGGCCATGCAAACAGGCAAATGGACCAAGACTGATCCAGACCTCAAGCCATACTTCGACCTGAGAGCAGAGCTATACATGGCAGAAGGACTGATCCTGAGAATGGACAGAATCATCCCCCCTGAATCACTGAGAGACAAGATTATCCAGATAGCCCACAAGCAAGGACACTTAGGTATCAGCAAGACTAAAGAAATGCTACGCCGAAAGTACTGGTTTCCCGCCATGAACTCTCGCATTGACACCGTTGTGAGCACTTGCTTTGACTGCCAGATAGCAACAAACACGCAGCATACTGAACCAGCCAAGATGACAAAACTGCCAGAGAGACCTTGGGAAACCATTGAAATCGACTTCTGTGGACCATTCCCAAGCAAAGAGTACGCACTGGTCATAACTGACCAATACTCAAGATACCCAGAGGTTGAATTTGTCTACTCGACAGCCATCAAGCCGGTACGGCAGAAGTTAAAGAAAGTCTTCGCCACTCACGGAGTCCCCAAGACAGTCCAATCAGACAATGGACCACCGTTTAACTCAGAAGACTTTAAAGAATTTGCAGCAGAAATGGGGTTCACGCACAAGAAAATCACGCCACGACATCCCAAAGCCCAGGGACAGGTGGAAGGTTTCAACAAGCTCATGAACAAGACAGCCGCTATAGCACGCGCAGAAGGCATTGATCTCCATGAAGCAACCTGTGACATGCTACAAGCATACCGAGAGACACCTCATCCAGCCACAGGAAATGCGCCATATGATCTCCTCATGAATCGAGCAATCCGTACCAGACTTGACCACTACCCAACAGAGAGAGCCAGCAGGGACGAAGTAGTCAGGAAAAGAGACAGCAAATACAAAGAGAAATTGAAGTCTTACCATGACCGAAGACACAGAGCCAAGAAACACAAGTTCAAAGCCGGAGAAGCCGTTCTCCTGAAACGCGACAAGAAACGCAAAGGAGACACCCCATTCGAACCGTACATCTACATTGCCACAAAGGTAATTGGTTCCACAATCCATGCTAGGAGAACCAGTGATGGGAAAACAGTATGCAGAGATGCATCCAAATTCAAGCTGCTCAGAACAGCCTACGTCCCAGCAAGAGACAAGAAAACAAACCCTGTAAGACCAGTAGTACCACCAGCTGTCACCCAGGAAACAACACCAGTGGCAGCACCAATAGCCACCCAAGGAATTGTCACTCGACAAGTGCCAACTGAGGCAACGCCTACCAACCAAACCCTACCCCTGCGCAGATCACAGCGACAGACCAAATCTACATTTGATGGACACCTGAAGGACTATGCCAAATGAACATTGAATTGACTTTGAACATTGATCAGATTTCAACAATGATTATGAACACTGAACACTTGTTTCGTTACTGACAATTGACTGTGATTATTTCTAATTACTATGGTACTACGGTACCAGCATTGAATATATTTCATTGATTAGGTGCATGTCAATTAATTATTATTTATTGATTGAGTCATTGATTAGTTGCATGTTAAGTACAACCAAGAACGAATTGGATACATGAATTTTAAGGAACTGATCTGAAGAAGGA